TGTCAGTTCCTCTGAAATCAGTGACATGGTCTAAACAATCCATCAAAAACTGAAAAGTAACATCATGTTAAATGCTAAAAGGCTGGTATAGCTGGGAGTAAGTGCAGGTAATTTTACTCCACTCATCACTGAGCAGTAGGGAGCTCAGAGGTTTTGCAGAAATGAGAAGCCAGACAGTTTATCTGTTCCTTAGCTGACTGCTGTGCAGTGCCCATAGCTTGGCTCTGGATGAGAACAATAGCATCTCAGAGGGTTAGAGAAAGAGAGAGGAGTCAGTACTCTAGTTTGCTAGGAAAATTTAGGAGAAAAAAAGGAGTGCTGAAATGAATTTGTATAGTAAGAACATCTCTCTTGCCCTCATCACCTCACAAAGCCTCAGCTCAGATAGAGCTCAGTGACAACATGGTGCCTCAAAAAATTGCCAATAGTTTTGTACGATACCCTATTATTAAGTCACAGCAGTTAAATGTCAGACGGTGTCAAACTGATAAAATAGCTATGTTAAAGGTTTCAATTACTCCTTTTTTTTTTTGTGAAGCAACTTATTTTCCCTGCCTGTTGTGCATTATGAAAATGCACACAATTAAGTCTGAGATTCACCAAACACTGTGACATTTTATAAAAGGTCAATTTTGTAGCAGCAGAGCACAAGATCAGTACAGTAAATACACTACTGTGGGGTTTTTTTTGTACAGTGGAAACTAGCAATTAGGCTGTTCTCATGTTGAAAATGCTGTTTTAAAAAAACAATGCTTCTGTGATATAATCACATTTTATGAGATGTTTGATACAGGTAAGAGCTCAGGTAACATCTCTTGTTCCAAATTGTTCACTGCCACCCCTACTATGCCTCTGTCTTTAATGTCACATGGTCAAGAGCTTCCAAATTTCTGGAAGGGAAACATTAGCTTAAGTAATTTGCAGATTGTAGTTAATCACAGTCAGTTTCAAAGGCCTCACAATCACTTCCAGTCACAGTGTTTGAGTTTGTAATCTGGTCCTGAGGTACTCTGCTGCCAACTAGAAACATTTGTTCAGGTCACAATATTAAAAGGATATAACGGTTTTTATATGACTGAATTCCTTTTTTTCTGGGTACTTTTATCCCCCCTGTTAATATTAATTTTTTTTTCCCCTTTCCAATGCTATCCTAAACCTCAAATCAAAATAAGTAGTATGGGACAGATGTAGCACAACCCCTTCCCTGTAGAGTAAAACATTGATGCATCCTCTTATGGTAGGTCAAATCAAACTTTTCAAATCAGTTTCTGACACAGTTCAAACAGTGTTATAACTGTTACGTGTGGAACAGATTAAAGAAAACGGGTAAGGACAATTTCAGATGCACCTACTTCTATAAATTCCTTGTTTTAGTACTTGTGCAGTAGCTGTCTGTCTCTCCAGGGGTTATGATTCTATAATCCCCCTCAAGATCAGTACTAACTTCCACATTGGCATCCACATGCAGAAGTGTCTGGTTAACACCAAGCAGTAAACTTAATGAGGTAACTAAACATAAGCACGTATTTTCCCTGTTTTTTTCCACCAGTCCTTTCTCTCCAGAACACAAACCTGGATATCACAAGTCTACAAGCAAGGAAAAAGCTAATTTGTACAGCAAAAAATACTGTGATTTTCTCTTCTTCAGGAAATAAACCCATATCCTTCTATTACCAGCTGCTTTAAAGGCTCCTGTCAAGCACACTCGAGTAGTCACTCACGTCAGCTTCATTCCATGCTTCTATTCTTTGAAAAATTGAATCCATAGGAGATTGCATGCAGGCATGTTGCCAGCCAAGAACCTTTCAACTGACTCATCTGGCTACACAAAAAGTTTTAAAGGTCATTGAGGGAAAGAATGGTATTTGGGGTATTGCACAGAGCCTGTGCAATCATTTTGGTGTTGCTTTGAGGCATTAACACATGTCAGAGCAGAAATACTATTTACGGGATATTGTCCACAGATGATAAGGAAAGACCATCTAAATCTTCCTTGATTAGTCATGGCCCCAGAAGGATAGCTGGACAACTTTCTCCAAACGTACAGTCAGAATTATCCACTGTATATAAGGTCTCCAAGATGAAGTCCCTATAGCAGAATAATGGTTGTTAAGTGCCAGCATCTCTGTAAGAAAAAAAAATAAAGGAAAAAAAGGAAGGAAAAAAAAGGAAAGAAAAAAGTCCAACTTTATCCATCAGTACACAGGTCTATAAATATTAAATCCAGCAACTTTGGAAACAAATTCTTCTTAACAAATCTCGTCTTACTTTTTTTCTAGAGTCTCAGAGGACCTCTAGTTCTGCCTAATAAAGCATACTTCCATTGAAAAATTCATCTTCATTAAAAGAGAAAAGTATATAAACTCCTGTGGAGCGTTAGTGTGCAGCAATAGATGAACAGTTACAGTAGAAATCAGGGCATATAAACCAATACTTGCTTTCAGAATCCCGAACTGAGAAACAAACCCCTCTGTGACAGGGCTCTGTGCTGATTTGCTCTGTGGGTGGGCAGGGTTGTAACAGGAAAAAAAAAGATCTGGAGGACTAGGATTTTACCAAGGGAATATAGTCCTGAAAGCTCCCATTCTGAACAATTTTTTCTTAACGAAGCTTGGCTAAATGGCATCAAAAGTGGGTTAGTTTAAAACAAAGCAAAACATTCCTGCCCCTTGCACTCCCGGCTGATTCCCAGTGTCGCGGCTGGCGATGTCCCGGCGCCACCTCCCGGGGGCTGCGGTCCTTGGCAAGGCTTGCACGGTAACGGGCCTTGCACAGACCCAAGCGGGCATGTTTTCACAGAATCACAGAATATTCTGAGTTGGAAGTGACCCACAAGGATCATCGAGTCCAATTCTTAAGTGAATGGCCGGTACGGAGATATTTTGTTAAAGTATTTTTATTTTTCCTCTCTCACAGCACTATTCAGGTTTCAACCACGTTTAAATAATTGCAATATCTACAGAAAGCCATATTACTGAAAGATTATCCCAAAAAGATTCTGCTCTCTTTTCTCACTTTAACTTCAAAAAGTCACTCCACTCCCTTTTCATCAGCTGATGAAATAGTGCCACTGTTCTTCTTTGCTTTCTTTAGACAAAAATAAAAGCTTGACCTCTCTGAAGCAGTGTCTGCATATTTTCCTTCCAGAAGCCTTCACTTTTTCTGTAATTGGAGTGCCATGAGGATGGCAGAAGAAAAAGTGTTCACCACAAAGGAGCTGAAGCTGAGCAATGAACAGTATTTTTTAAAGATGAGGATTAATCATTGCACAACTTGGGGCAGCTTGACACAAGTAGCATCAGCTATTTTCTAGGAATTATCCCTCACAGCATGGCATGATCAAAAGGAAATATTCGAAGATAACAGAATTGCTGTACAAGGCATTTTTAAGGGTTCAGGTGTTAAATAAGAAATGGAACCATTCCATACCACAGGAGAGTTTCCTTCCTCATGTAGGAAAAAAAACCACCAAAAAAAGTGAAGCCAAGTTTTTTAAGTAGGTTGTTAAATTTACAAGGATCTAAGCTTATTCTCATGGAAAAAGGAAACTTTGTGTTAAATATCAAAAGTTTTCAACATATGAAGAGATTGGTACTAAACTAGGTTGTCCTATCTCCGATAGTTTCAGAAAATAAATTTATTCAAATTTTGAAAAATAAAAAGGCAAAATGGTGAAATGATTGAAATAAACTCTGTTACAATGCTTTGTCACTTGTTTAGAATCACAGAATCATCAAGGTTGGAAGAGACCTTTAAGATCACCAAGTCCAACCGTTAGCCCAGCACTGCCACATCTACTACTAAATCGTGTCGTGAGTGCCACATCTACACCTCTCCTAAGTACCTCAGGAGTGGTGACTCAAACACTTCCCTGGGCAGCCAGTCCTTGACAACCCTTTCAGTGAAGAAATGTTTCTTAATATCTAATCTAAACTTCCCCTGGTGCAACCTGAGACCATTTCCTTTGGTCATATCCCTTGTTACCTGGGAGAAAAAGAAACACCCACCTGGCTACAACCTCCTCGTAGTTGTGAAGAGCAATACAGCCCTCCCTGAGCCTCCTTTTCTCCAGGCTAAACACCCCCAGCTCCCTCAGCCACTCCTCACCAGAGGAGTGCTGTGCTCCAGACCCTTTACCAGCTTTGTTGCCCTTCTCTGAACAAGTTCCAGCACCTCAAGGTACTTCTTGTAGCAAGGGGCCCAAAATTGAACACAGATCACCACCCCGGTCCTGCTGGCCAGGATACCATTGGCCTTCTTGCCCCCTGTGCACATGGCTGGTTGGCAGTAATTCAAGAAAATAAAAGTATGAAAGCTGCATTAACAAGTTGGAGTAAATGATCAACTTACTGAGATTGTCTTGCTTCATCCATGTCAGGAGCAGGTAATTGTCAAAGTAATTTCAGCTCTTTCTAAAAAAATCACCATTCCTCAAACAATGCAAAATCCTACAAAATACAGTGCCTGTGACTTCAGTAAATGCTACACTGATGGAACCAAAATGTTTTAAATGTTTACTCAGTCACTGAATAAGCTGAAACATTACTATATCAAAAGTAGCTGTTCTAGTTGAGTAGAAAATGTCCAAGTGTGGGTCACTTCTAGTAGCAGATTATAATTATTTATTGATATTATAATCCCCAAAGAAAGAATATTATGCTTCTAAATTACTTAATTTAGAAGAATAAATACAAAACAGTTTAAAACACCAGTAATGGAAAACATCATATTACTCCAGATAGTGCAAATTTTTTAATTTTGTCCCACGACAGAATTTTTTAAAAATTTTTTGAAGAATTTAAGGATATACAATATCGATGTGTACTCATTTTTTTCCACTCAAAGTTATGGTGGGTATATAGGCTGTCTGAAAAAACAAAAAGGCATCTAAAACCATTCCACATAGGCAGGCATAGCTCTTACTGCACAATGGGTAAGTTACAAACACTTCCAAAGACACCATTCCTAACAAGAAATAAACAAAATTTTCACACACAAGCTTTCTTGAATGTCTCAACTTTAATGGAGTCAGAACAATTCTATACAACTATATACAGATGTTGAAGCATGACTAAATATCTATTACTTCCTACATACAATCAGTTGGAAATGTGCCCCAGCTAGGAAATACAAACACACGTTTGCAAGATTATTTTACTATTCTTGATCGTAGCCGTCGCTTGATGATTAGATGATCACTTTCCTTCTCTTTTTGTTCTACAAAGATCTGAAAAAGATGGTATTAAATGATGGTTACTCAGCATTTCAGAGACAAATGATATAGACTTCCAGACCTGTGTGACTAACAGCATAGTTTTCCCCAGAATCTGTTTTCAGAATGAAATTTGCTTATTCACTGAAAGGGTGGTCAGTCATTGGAATAGGATGCCCAGTGGTGGAATCACCATCTGGGAGATATGCTTTAGTGGTGAACACAGTGGTGCTGGGTTAACAGTTGGACTCAATGATCTTGGAGGTATTTTCCAACCTTTACAATTCTATGATTCTATTACCTTTTAGTCAGAGGTCTCCAGGATAGAGAGGCCGTTTTAGTGCATCGTAATGAGCAACAAATACCAGAAACACACAAAATCCCTTTTTTTTTTTTTTCCGGAACAAATATCAAAGTCCAAAGAAAAATGTGATCTGAAAGCAGCTCTCGGTTCTAATTTCTAATACTCATTTTGTGATACAGGAAGTGTTCAGAAAACACAGTTTTTAGCTTAAATTTTTACAGCTTTCTCTGACTTTTCCAGGATTCAGTCTTTCACTTTTTCATTCACTTCCAAGCTTCTTTGCTCTTTCTGCCCTGCATTTCTACCATTTTCGTTTTCCTCTTATGGACAGCATTTTGGTTTCTGCCACATCCATTCATACAATTTACAGGAAATTCAACAGGATATCTTAGTATGGGCAAATGCTTACTATAGCATGAGGAAGAAAGGATTGAAGAGAGAGAAGGGATATACTTCAGAAGCAACAGAGCAAGAGATTCTCAGCAGTATAGTTACTGTCAAAACCATTCAGTTAGATTTCAGGAACAATACATAAATTCTAGCCTACAAGGCTTTTTATAGACTGGCTTAGATAGAGTAACACAATTTAACCACATCCAGAAGGGTATTTAAACTGTGTTTTGAAAAGCATGGATGTATCCACATGCTATTATGCCCAAATATCAGCTGGGCATAAATAGAATTCAAAAACACCTTAGGTGCTCACTTGCCCTGCAACATTAATTGTACGTGCAGACCTTTATCTTTAGCATTTCAATCATGTTGTTCCAAGTCTATGGATCCCTTAATGGTCTCTATTTCTATTCTCCCTTTATGTTACACTTAAATGAACCACAGCTACTGGCTCAGACTTAACTGCTGTAGCCCAGGAAAAAGTAATCCTCCACATACTACAACTAAGATATCTATGAATCCAAATGTAAAGATATCTCCACAATTGTTGTATCACCCATACAGTAAGTCAGCAGTCAAAGAGAGAAGACAAGTGAGAAAACAGAGAAAATTAAGTAAAACAGCAGAAAGAAAAGACCAAAAGGAACGATTAGGAAGAATCAAAAAGTAAGTTGTTATTTTAAAACCTCTTCTGCAACTTTCAGATTTGTTTTGTTCCCCTACTAGTTTATTTTAAACTAAGATTACAGAAAAACATTACAGTGGGCAAAACAGTAACCTGTAATCACTTACTGAAGAAACAGGTATATGTAGGGGGGAAGAAATGTCAGTTGAATACAGCTTTCTCTTAGCTCGTTTTGGCTTGAGCTCATCTTCTTTGACTTTTTCTGGTCCTGCAGACTTGGGAGAGCTTATTGTCTCAATCAGTTTCTTTGCTAGAAAACAAGTTTTGTCATAAATACGTCTTACTGGTTTTGTGAGCCCCAAAATTCATGAATAAAGAAAGCTTTATTAAAACAGTTTAAAATGAAACTGATGTAGTCTGAAGTTCAAATATAAAAATTCAGAAGCGGTATTTGACTACGACAGTTTTCTATAGCTGGAAGCAGTTTTCTGTATCTTCAGATGCAAAAGCTTAAAGGACATATTTAAATAGCACATTAAAAATCAACCAGGATTCAGATCTCACTGCAAGTTACAGACTTCTGAATTGAACAGATTTAAGTTCTTTGTACTGACACAAGTACAATGTAGAGTAAATTTTCTCTATATATTTGTGTAGTTTTATCAAATTAGTACTAGCTCTTTAAAGAGAGGAGTGTATGCACTAGAAAGCAATAGGAAATCCCAAACAATATTCTTATACAAAGAGGAAAAAGATAAAAGACATGGTAATAAAGGTTATAAAGCAGAACTCATTTGCTCAAATCTAGTATTTTAAGGATGAAATTTTGAGTAGTCTGAATTTGGTTTCCATTGGTAATAAATGTTGTCCTCATGGAACCAATATGACAAACCTGACTTACGTCAGATAAATAAAGATGCAAGACAAGTTTTCAAGCTGGTACAGGAGCTTATTTCAACTGTCTGCATTAAATAATGACTGACCTTGTTTTAACCAAATAAGTAATAGTGTCTTTTAGAATTTAACATTGGTAATTTCTTGTGCCTTCTGCTAATTTTTTTTTTAAACACGGTAATCCAGAGATCATGTCTTACTGTGGCAAAGAATGAAAGTATATTCTTCAATGGAAAGTCCTAGTAGTTAACCTTACCAGGGCTACGCTTAAACTTAAGAAAATCCATTAATTGCTCCATATTCAATTTAATGAAGTCTTCCAAATATTTTCATGAGACACTGGCTTTCAGATTCTGTAGAACCAACCTCCCCCTCTCACATACATCAAAAAACATTACGAAAGTTTCCACAGAAACAAGGCATTGCTTATAGAACCCAGTAAGATTTGGAGTTTGGATTCATCTCTTGATTTTTTTAGAGCAGCAGGGCAAGTTTCTAATGTTGCCTTTACCTGTAAGTAAGTACAAAGTAACTCTGGTATTCTGAGCCAAACAGTTATCATTGCTTTTATGATATATGTGCACACATCCCACACTGCATCTTTCATTCCACCTGGTTTACCTTTCACACTTAACCTAAACTTTAGAACCATGTGTCCTTGCAGTCAAGACAAACTCTTCTACTCTGCCGTTCTGCAATGCCCAAAGAACAGGGAATAAGCCTTATTTATACTGTACAAACCTTTGGAGTGAATAATAGTAGGAGAACTTTGGAAAAAATCACCAAGTTTCTGGAGTGTCCCATCTTTCTTCTTAGCTGACTTTTTACTTAAAGTAGATTCTTGCTTTCTTAAGGGGTATTCTTTTCTAAGAGACCGAGCAGTCGACATCTGTATAGAAATACAAGTTTATTGTTTAAACTGAAAATTGACTTATCTTCATGTTTAATTTCATTTTATTTTACTTCAGTGTTATTTTCAAGCTGACAGTTTGAGCTTTGCTACTGACACCTCTGTTCATTTTAGTAATGATACCACTACAGCAAGCAATGTAGACAACCTCATTTCATACCCAGAATTAAAAAAAATTGCCAGAGTTTCACAGAATACATTTAAGGACGTGAGTCATATAGGAAACAAATAGTTACCTTTTTGAAAAAGGCAGATTCAAAGTTATAGAGTATTTCATTAGACAAGATGGTCTAATTATAAATAAAGTAAGAGGAATCTGATGAGGCAAACAGATGCACTATCCAACCTCTGAATCTGCCCAGGTTTCCACTATGGACTAAAATAATCTTTTTATAATTGCCATAAATATAGGTAATATAAACCTCAGTCTTAGTTCAAAGGCATTGTCTATAACATCACATTCTAATAGTATGCTCAAACTAGTCTGGGTAACTATTCAATATGTAACATCCTTCCCTTTGAATCATTGCACACTGAAGCTAGGACACTACACGTTCTTGGCAAATACAGACACTCTCTTTGGTTGGCTTATAGAATTTAGTAGAAAGGCAACATAAGTGTTTGAGGATCCTATTCAAGTACATAGATAAGGATAAGATACTGCCTCATAAGAATATTTGCTTCTTTAACAAGTCCACCTTTATAGAAAAGGTTAAACTAACTTCCAAAATGGAACAAAATCAAACCATTTTTTTGTTGCTTGTAGAAGGTGAATCAGCCATAGCAGGTTTTGCATTTCTCTTGTTCTCACTTTTCACAAAATCCTAAGAAAATCAGGAAATTAGAAGAAATAATAATTGATACCAATGATTGCATAACCAAAAGAAGCACTTTTACAGAACTGGTCTATGATCCCACAGATCAGAGCTGGAGACAAGAAGAAATGGTACCAGCAGGGAGAAAGAAATGTAAAAGGTAAAGTGCAAATTAGGGACAAGAGTTCAGAGTCTGGATCAGTTGAAGTCTATGACCTTAATCAACACAGGCAAGAGATCTACCACTTGGAGGGGCACAAGGTTTGAATATACCCTACGTATATCCTTAGGATCTCAGTGAAAAATCAGAAGGATAGAGTTTAAGTAAATGATCAAAGTAATACACTGAAAAGCTCCACTACAGATTTCATCAGTTGGTTTAGTTCACACCTCGTTCATCTCTACACTCTTCCTTTTCCTTCTTGGCTTGAGCATTTTAACTGTAACTGGTGATGTGCTGCCCTGGTGCTTCACCTCCATCTTATTGGGTTGCAGAGGCGTGAACTGGATTTCCATCTCTGGTTTTGGGAACCGACTAGTTTTTCCATCTTCTGTGGACACTTCAGAAGAGTCAAGGACAATTTCTGAATGGTCCTGTAAGTATATGGAAATTTTAAGAAAACAAGTTTTAAAATAACTATGAGTTAAATAGTATAATATATATCCCCCCCACTTTTGCAGTGGATTGCGAAGTAAGCATTTTTATTTTCCAGCTGTTAGCTTCCAGAACACTTCCAATAGAAGTGTTCCAAAGAAATCTACAGCAGAGTATTTTAGAATTTTTTTTGTTAAATTTTTACAAGTTAACATTTGTATCTATGATCACAGAACTTTCCCTGCCGAACTCAATCTGATACTTTGTTTCTGAGTCATTTTCCTCAAGGGCAGAGACAACTAATCACAGTTTTCACAGCTAGGGGTAGCAGAATTGACATGATTTTCTCCATCTTAACTCTGCTGCTCCTTAGGAACTAGGCAGTAATAGCAGTTTTTGCAAGAAAAGTATAATCTTTCGCTATCGTATCTTTAGAGAGCTTTCCCTTCACTTCTACAGTAGAGAAGTTAAATTGTGTAAGTAAGGTCCAACTGGCAAGCAGTCTGCCCTGCTATTGCTCACCCATTTAAAAGAATTTATATTTTTCTCCAGCTGACACATCTAATAATCAGTCACTTCATATGCATCAGTGAGAGGTAAGTTTTCAAGAGTACACAGTTGAAGTCAGATATAATTATTCACATAATTATATTATACAGCTTTTATTTCTACCAAAAGCCGCTAAATCAGGTGATCTGATCATCAAGGGATTTGCAGAATAAAACTTTAGAATCATTCAGGCAACAGGACACATTTTATTCCCTACTGTGCATTTAGCAAAATCCGTGCTACTGCATAAAATTTTCCAAGTTTTATACCAAGCTCAATTAATGAGAAGGCACTGCTAGGACACTGAGATTATGAATAATTCTCTTTGCCTTCATCATATCTTACTGGAATACTTTTTCCAGCTACAGGACTAACCTCGCTTTGTTTTCCCACAAACTGTAAATACTTACAATGAGTAATATGAGAATATGCCACACTGTAAACCTCAAACTATTTTGAGTTTCCTTAAGTTACAGCATAAAAGCTCAAGTGCAGATAGCTAACGAACACCTAGGCTGAAAGACAATAGGAGTTTAAGACAGTAACATCTGTTCACAATGAGATCACATGTCCTGGTGAGTCTCACCAACAGTCCATCTACTTCAATACTCTGCCTCCAGGAATGGAAAACAGATGCTGTATGACATAACATGTGTGATCCTGGTCACCTTCTCATCTGTTCCATCAATACCCTGACAGCACTCTCACTGTTTGCATTAGAAATGTCAGATACACCTCTGCCTAATCCTCAGAGTATCAATCTACAAATACATTTATAGATTTCTACTACAGTTTTTCCTAATTCCTGCTGACAGTATTGGTTTTCACCACCTTCAGAAGACCACTAGCTCCTTCATATAGAAATATGCTATTTTACCTGTTTTAAAATAAACTCCTATTAGTTTCAGCAAGTGCTGCCCATTTCTTGCAGGATTTTACAAAGGACAGTTCTGCCTTCTGTTTACCCCCAACCATGACTTTTTTAAGCCTCAGCTCCATGACCCTCCAGTGGCCTTAACCTCTTCTAATCAGAGTGCCAGCCTATTATCCTCTCCACACAAGGCAGGAGACACATATTGCCTTGATCATTTTAGCTCTTTTTCTTTCTCTCCACTATGATTTTCCTGAGAATTATTTGACTTCCCTCCAGAACTTTACCCCATTCACTTCAACACCACCATAACAGTTTCTCACACAATGGTCACAGTAACAGACTCTACTTATCCGTAACATCAAATATTGTTGCTACTGGCTTAGGGTAAGTACTTCAGCACTAACTGTTCACAACACATCTTCTCTGTAACTGACTTTATAGCAAAAACCTAATTTTATGGTGATCTCTTAGCTGCTATTACAAAGCTACATTAAGCAATAACCCTCCCAAGAGCTCATACATCACAAGTTTTATCTATACAGCACAAGCTGAATTGATGAAACATCAAGAAACTAGCCATACAGTCCTACTTGCCAGCAGACAGTAAAGAGATGAAGAGACGTATTTTAGCATTCAGTCAAGTTCTGCAGTAAGAGGAGAATCACATCTTGTATCTGCTAGGGAAGGGACTGCTACGAAATCCATGTTCAGACCTGTTCAGTATTAATTAGCAATGGAGCCACATAGCATTAATTCCATTTAGAAGAAGAATGACCTCATTAAATAGTGTTCATGATGCATACAAGGGTTCGGTCAGAATCAGAAGTCTCTGTACAGTTACAAGGCTTTTAATTTTTGTTCAGGAAATAGGCAAAATAGATCTTTTCCTTGTGTACACATCAAATATTATTTTGTTTTGGTTTTAAGTGGGATGCAAGATACTGCTTTGTTCTTGTGAACCCCCATATGGGCTGGTAGCTTTAATTACAGAATCATCTTACCACACCATAGGTGACATCATGAAAAGTTGTTTGAGTTGAAATCCCCTTAACACTGACATACTCAAACTGAGATGACACTACAAATACTATGTCTTCAAATCTCTAGAACCTGGATTAGTTAACTAGTTTTCCCTCATGTGTAGAAGTTCTACAATGTATAGAGAGATAGCATTCTATTAACTAAAGTACTCATTTTCTGAGAGTGAGTGTGAAAGAGAAGAATAAGCAAGAACTGAAGATATAGCTAAAGTACAAAGAACTACAAAAACATATTAGGAGATTCCCAAAACTATATACAGAAATATATACTGAGAAAACAACAAAACAAAGTTAATATCATTAGTACATATTTTCTATAAATTAAACAAACATACCTCTTTGCTTACAGACTGATCAGTTTTATCTTGTCCTTCCTCAGGTAAAGGTACTTCTGACAAAGACTGAGGGCTTTCACGGTTAATGTGTTGTTTCAATTCCTTTATAAAATCATCTTTCTCAGCCAATTGTTTTCTTAGTTCTTCTATGTCAGTTTCCTTACCCTAATAAACAAAGCAAAAATTGCCACAAATTGCAGGACTGTCAGAAGAAAGTAATACATATCAAAAGCATCATTATGTTTACTTGGTAGCATCAGTTCTATTACTGTGGGCTAAAACAGTCAGGTATCCAATACAAAGCCAGTAATTTAATGCCTGTATGTAAAGTGAAGAAAAGTCTTATAACAGTCTGGGAAAATGTAATGCAAAACTTCTTGTTTTACTATACTTATTTAGAATAAGTTCACCTCCTATTTGTTCATGAAGTTCTTGGTGCTGTGAAAAAGGCAACAAATGTGATAGTTATTTCAGATATCCAGCCCAAATTCGCAATCAGAGCATTTATTGGCCCTACTTAATATTTTGAAACTTCAGTTACTATTACAAATTCTGTTTCAAGCAAACATAAAGCTTTTCTTTTTTAAATTATCTGCAAAAGATTTTCATATAACAGTGTTTAAGAACAAAAACGAGAGCCAGAATGCCAAGTGCAACTATACTGTATTGCAGAATTAATGCATAACAAACACAAACAAAAAATCACACAGGAAGAAGACAGAGAGAACTGACTTTTTCTGAAGCCTTTAGTGCAGCCTGTTTCAGCTCCTCTATTTCTTTGTCTTTTTGTATGGTGCTAGAAGCCAAACTCTTGAGCTGTACTTCCAAAGCTTCTACTAGTTCATCTCTTTCCTCACGCCACTTTTGAAGATTACTATCCTTCTCTACCAGCTGTGTAGCAAGTCTTTCCTAAAGAGGGAAAAAGGATAGGTTAGAATAGAAGACCTATTCTCTACACAGTATCTGAACTGTTCTGGTAGTTTTGTTTTGCATAGTTAATACTATTTTATGGCCTTAGTGAACTTAAGAGCCTATGTAGATCTTAAAAAGCTCACACAGAACTAGTTTAACTACAAATATGCAAAAGCAAACCATTTTTCAATTAGAAAATCTGTATTTATATTTATACTCTTCGTGAAGAGAATTTTTTAAGAACCACCACTCATGTTTGCTTGCTCAAAGATTTTGCTAGTAACAAGTCTCAGGCAAGAAAAGTCACAGATAAAGTGAAAGTAGTTCTAGCTCCTAATATCCTCCTGTACTGATTGCAGGTCCAGAAAGTCATTGCTAACTACCTTTTAGATTGTAGAGGTTCATATAAAAATTTCATATGCTTAAGAAACTACAACCTTGACACAGTCCAGTGACCAAGTAAGGCATCTTAGTTATTAACTATTAGTCACTCCAATGCTAGTCAAAACCCCAGCATATAGATCAAGTATTTTTATTCTATATCTGGAAAACGCTTTTTCTAACAACTTCTCTTCCTTTCTGTCTTGCCTTTCCTCTTCCTTCTAAAGTCTCACAAATTGTTTGCTTCGGCTTTCTCTTGTTTGTTTTTTTTTTTTAAGAAAATCCAAGCAAGAAATCTTATTTTCCAAAGTGAGCTTCCTTAGCTTCAGTAAGGAGTAATTCATTTTAGCATAGACTATTTACTGGTGTTTCACATACAATATGAAATTTGAAGACTTCATAGTGAGGTGGTAGTGTAGGACAGAACTTTCATTATGTAGTAAGTTTTTTCATTTTATGATCCTCCTACTTTTCCCTTTTCATATTGAGAAGATCTCATGTAGGCTTTGCCATCTGAGAAAGTCAGGGAACTCTGACAAAGGCCAGCTATCTCAAGTGCCCACACTGTTAACATTTGACATGACATTTGCTCTGTACTAAAGCTTTACACTGGAGGACTCTGCTGAGACATCCAGTCACTTACAATTTCTGCTTGTTGCTTTACATGATGTTCTCTGTTCTCCACAAACTTTCTCATTTCTCTGTTGAGATGACTCTCAGCTTCTTTTATTTGATTTATGAGTTCCATTTTTTCCTCAAGCCACTTCTTTCTATCAGTTTGATACTTTGCCTCATTTTCCTATTTTGATGAAACCAGAAATAATACCATAGGAAGAAACAGAAAAAAAGACTTAAAATTCAGAATATCATTGAATTTCAAAAACATAACAGAAATACTAGCACAGTTCTATTCCAGCATATTCCCAAATGCAAGTATTACATTTCCATTTGTTCTTCCCTATTGAAAAAAATTTATCAATTTTCAACACTTGTTATTCAGACTGGCAAATCTTCATGGAGCAGAGGTGTTTTTTTCCTCAAAATGTTCTGGGTAAGTCACAAACACTATAAAACTTACACCAAAAGTAATGATAAAGAGACTCTTTTAACTTAAAAATCCCCAATCTTTTATGCTGCCTTAAAGGACATGTTAGAAAACTAACTTCTGCTTCATGACTGAAAGGTAAAGAATGCAGTACAGTTTGAATGGGAGGCAGAGATAGCTCGTACCTAAGAATGTCACTTCAATCCACAGCAACCTTGTCTCCTCTATCACAATCAAACCTCAGACATTCTACCACATAAGACAGAAGGCACCTGTAAAGTTGCTTAGAAAGAAAGTATATTTTCTATTCCAAGGAGAATTAAAAGTAAGTTCTCTGCCTTACAGAAAGGGCTTACAGGTCATGCAGCAAGCACAAGATCTTGAGAGAGTTTGATTCAGCAACTGACAGGAAAGATGTTTGGAACAGATACCAGGAGCTGGACCAAGATAACTGTAAGAGGAGACCAGCTACAGAAGCACCTTGCATGGTAGTAGCATAATGCAGGGGATGGTGCACTGCGTTATGGGGCATAAGTGATATCACATATTACAAAGACACTGCATCCAGACTTCACTGCACTGGTGCACTGCAGCTTTCAGAGGAGGTTTCCTTTACCAGTGTAACAATTGGCCATACCATGCCCTCCCTTTTGAAGATACCGATGCAAAAAAAATTTAGACTCCTAAAGGGAAGTTATAGTTTTAAAACTATGTATGAATTACGTGTTATATTTTACCTTCAGTTCTTTTTGCAGCTTCATCAATTCCTCATTTTCCTTTATGGTTTTCTCATTTTTGCTCATCTTTTCCTGCCAGTCAGTATTGCTCTGGTTATTCAGCTCTCTGTATTTCTGCTTCCATGCTTCCAGTTCTAGTCAGAATACAAAATGAATTCACGTTGAACTCACATAGTTTTGAACACTTATTTGACCATGTTCATATCCCTCTACTAAAGTTACTTGGGTTTATCAGCTATGATCACAAACAGACAACAGAAGCTTTTAAAAAAAATTGCTGTGTTATATGAAAGTAATGCCTAAATAACAATTAACAAGTAAACTCAGAAATTTAAAGCAGCTATCACAATACACATTCAAAATAATTTTGCCTCCCTGCTCCCTTTTCATGAAGAGATTACCTAAAACTAATCTGTTTGACTCTTCCAATTTGGCTTCAAGCACTTGATCTTGTTCCATCTGAGTCTGTTCTTGTTCTTCTAATGTCATTCGCATATCTTCAATTATTTTTTCCTTTGCACACAAATCTGAAAATTTGAAAATTAATTTACAGATTAGCCTCCTCCTAGTTCCCACCATTGTCTCCCAAAGTGTCTTGATAACAAGTTGTTTCCCCATTTCCTGAGATTAAAAGCTCCATTAGAAAGAAATACTGATAGTTCATCTCTACTGAACTATCCAAACCTAAAATTCTTAAGTGACTCTGTTCTCAGCAACTTGATTTAGATGTGTTTTGGTGTTAAATGTCAGACTACAGCTTGTATGGCTATGAGAAACTAACCACTGTTCAACTGCTAAATGTTTACCAAATCTGCAGAAACTAATATTTTGCTAGTTCATGCTTTTGTTAAAACAGACAACTAAAATGGCAAATAAATCCCAGCATTTAATAAGTTAACACTGATACTTTCTCCAAGGCTTACATTTCTTATTCTGAGATTGTTTTTTTGCTTACTATATCTCTAATAATGATTCAATAAAAATATTTCTTGTGAGATTTTAAAGTCCAAGTTGGAGCTTCTCAGTATTTTAAAATATAAATACACGAGACTCTCCAAATTTGTTCTCAACGTGACCACCCATTATGTTGACACTCCACATACACACACACAAAAAAAAAAGGAACAATAATGTTTTTTTCTGACCTTTATGTGTTTTCTCGTACTGTTTGGAGATTTCTTCCAGCTTCTCATTATTCAACTGCTCCTAAATATCACATTAAAAGCAAATTAAAGAAAACATGTTGAAAGAAACAAATATATATGCTAGAAATTAGTGGCTTTTCATTGAGAATTTAATAAATGATAAATCAAGTATTTAAGACAAACAGTCCAAATAAGTAAGTTCTTCATATAATACAAAGGATCATTCAAGCTGCTTTAAAAATAAAAAAAGAGGAAGACATTACAAGTAACATATCTAAGTGTTACTAATCAGAAACTCTGAAGGTATTAAGTATGTATTTGCTAGGCAGATTGTCAAATTGTTTTAAATAGAGCAATGTCCTGCATGAGAATTTCTTTAAACATTTTTCATTCATCTGTTAAAACTAATTTCAGCTGGCTACTCTTTTACCCCAACTTGTATAAGCTTTCTCCACCTGCTTGGAAAATTCAATATTGGATTAGTTGAAAAAATTAAGAACAAGGAAAATTTAGGGAAAAAAATACCTTTTTAAGTTTCAGGATTGTGCGCTGTTTGAACTCCAATTCTTCACTAAACTGGCTTTTAATTTGCTCCAGTTCATTAACTTTTTTCCTCAGGGTTTTCTCCTCAGATTGCATTGTACACACCTGCAACAAGACAGCAAGCAAAACTAACATTTAGTTAATAAGCCTTCTACAATCTCTGTCAGATGTCTAAATAACCAATTACTTTAATTAAGAGTCAAATTTTTGCAAGCATCTTAGCTAAATTCCAGGGGCTGGTAGAGCATTATACTGTACATCCTTCTGAGGAAAGGATTTTAACCATAGAGTATTACATTTGAGAGGAGGGGGAAGAAACCCAAACCCAACCAACTCAACAAAAATCCCACCCCTTAAAAAAACACCACAAAACCCAAATAAAGGAAAAAACCCCACTCTGAAAACACAACAAAAAAACCCAAACAAATCACAAACCAGGAAATGGCCTAATTAAGCTACAATTTGTTGTCCTTTAGAAAAAGTTTTCTGACATGGGACCTTATCCACTCCTTGCTATTTCTCAAGCAGAGGATTATACTGAATGCTGAGTAGGAAAGGCTGCTGGTGAAAATGTTAATACTCTTTAACTTCCAAGCCCAAACTCTTGCAAGTCTTTTGGATTTTAAGTTTTTGCAATATCCCACGAGGTTCTAAAAAAAAAATTACTGTCTTACTGCCTGCTAACTTTGACCAATGTTAATGGTCAGTATTGAGTTATTCCATTTATTAATTTCTTCTCCCCAACCTTAATAGGAAACATAGCTCAGATTTAAAAGTCTCTAGAAGTTAGTGCTTTCCTTTTCTGATTAATCTATCTTTTCCTCTCAGAGATCAGCATTTTCCACAAGTCTGAAGTCAGCACAAATAACAATGTAAGATTACTGTTGTTAAAGAGATTATAAAATTCTTCTCCCTAATCAGATTAGTCATAGCTTTCACAACTCTTTCTCAAGGGTATTAATAAAAATTTACATGACCCTTCAATATCTGTACTAATCTGTGTTCTAACATCTGGTCTTTACTTTACAACTTCAATGGCTATGTAACTTAAAATTCAATGTTACTGTAAATATATTGCTCAAAGTAGCCTTATTATGAATCACTTTTAACATTTGTAGCTTGAGATTTGTGAAAACCAGTTTTAATAACAGAACCCCAGGCCCAAACCTGCAGAAGAAACATTTTGCCTGTGGTTACCAACCTGTTTTTGTACTTGCTGAATTTGCTTCTTGGCATCAGAAAGTTTCTCTTTCAAATCTGTATATTCTTCCTCTTTCCTCTGCAAATCTTTCTTCAAACTTTGTACAAGAGCAGAGCTCTCAGAAAGATCTTTACGTAGCCTTGGGTTAGAAATAAATAACATTAGTCTTACACATCTCAAAAACCAGCTTTTACACATTAACTCGGGCTCTTTCCCAGTTTTATTCAAGGACAGAATCTTGGCTCTAGCAGATCAACGACAAGCTTTATAATTGTACTTTTGGATTTCAATTTCTTATTATATGATCCTGAAGTAACAAACTGCCCAGATTCATTTCTGAACACTGACATCTTTTTAAATATTATTTTTTTAAGCACAGTCGAGCAACCATTTTTATCACTAGGTGACCATACAAAGTAACAAAAAGGAACAAGGCTAATATCAAACAAGTTTGAGCTTGATAACTACATATCCCAGTCCTTGTAAGGATCAAATAAATAAAAATTCAAATAAAAACCCCCAATAACATTGCAGCAAATGCTGCCCTCACAGGTGCTACAAAGCAAAAAATAAGTTTGATGACTTCATTTTTAAATGGTCACATTTATTTCAAAGAGTTTATAGTAAGACATCCTGGATTTTTACCTTTGAACTAATCAATAGAAGGTTTTTTAGATAAGTGACAATACAATACAAGACCTTACAAAAGGAAAACCTTTCAAAGCTTTACAAGCATAGGGTTGGGGATCATCAGACCTTCATTCTAAGTTGTAATTTGGAGTATATGCAGATACTCAGATACGGCACTAAAGAAACCATAGTCAGGAGAAGGGCTACATAGCATCTTAAAGCTATTTTTACATAATTATAATTTTTTACCATATAACTAATATAATCTTTCAGATACCTGCAATCTCTTATTTCTTAAAGATTTAAAAAGTAGAGGGAGATGAAGAAAGTTCTACCCTCCTATGACTATTATTCCTTCAAGTCTTATAGTAGATTTTGTTCACCTAGAATAGCTATTACCAAACTCAACTGTTTATTGTTTACTCCTTAGGCTTTTTTTTCTTTCTTCTTTTCCTTTTACCACTCAGTCCTTTCCAAAGACAACATTGCCTGCTTTGGTACATTAAACTATATGTGATTTCTTTCAGAAAGGGTATGCAACAAAACTATTAGAAATCCCCAAATAATTTCCTTGTATGCTCCTATTCCCCCACTCAATAGTTCCACATGATTTAGATCTATATTTTTGAAAGAATAAACAAACAGGTGGGGAAAACACAGCCAATAGAATATCAAATATAAAATTCAAGTAGTATATTGAAACTTTTCAAAGCAGCAGTTTGTTTAATCAAGTTTATAAACAAGAAAATGTGTTATGTCAAAATAAATTGATGTTGACATAAGGGATTTTTAACTTAGGTCTATTGTCAAAGGATTATGAGTAATCTTGTTATTTACTCACAATTCTATAGATTGTATTTGCTCATCCTCATTTTTCTCCTTTTCCTGAAGAGCATGTTTCATGTTCTCCAAGCTGTTTGTCAACTGCACAACTTCATCCTTTAGATTTGCTTCTTGATCGTTCAGTTCTTTCAGTTTTTTGTCCAAGCTGGTACATTTCTCTTGGAAAGCTAATGTACTACTTTGTAGATTTAAAATAGTAGATTCTTTTTCTTTAAGTACTTCTTCTAACTTTTTTATGCTGTCATCTTTAGCTTCCAATACACATTCAAGATCTCTTATTTTTCCCTCGTATCCATTAACTTTCTCCTGAAACTGTTCAATTACTCTCTGATCTTCTGCAGCCTGTTTTTCAAAATCCTGAGTTTTCTTCAGGATTTGCTCTTGTAACTGACTCACAATATCTTTTTCCTTTACAGACTGATCATTTTGACTTGCAATCTCATTTAATTTTAATTTTAGTTGATTATTGTAATTCTCACTGTCATTAAGTCTCTTCTTTAAGTCTGCAACTTGTTGAAGCAGTTCTTGAATCTGATGACTTTTTTGTGAAGAAGCCTTAATCATAATTTTGCATTCTTCCCAAATGGTTTCAATACTGCGGTGAAAGGAGCTCTCCTGTCCCAGATCTGCTGTAGAAGCAGTTTGGAATTGCATAGATACAGGACCCATTTGAGCTGTCTGTGGTTCATCTTTTTGAGGGTCTAAGGAGTCCTTTAGATTAACTAAATCAGTATCCATAGTGTAAGACTCTAAGTGACATTTATACAACTCATCTACTTGGGACTGCATTGTTTTAATTTGGGACACTTTATCAATTATATTTTGTTCAGCAGCTGTTACTTGGTTATTTAGCTGAATAATCTTTTCTTCTTGTTCCTTATTTACAGCTTTCTGTTTGTCCAATTTGGAAACAATCTCCTGATAGTCAGCTTGACATTGCTGAAGTTCTTCACTTAAGCCATAAGCCCTTTCTTCAGAAGCAGACAGCTTGAGATGCAAGCTTGTTATCTCCCAACTTAACTCTTCTTTTTTATTTTTTTCTCTTTGGCATTGTTCTTCAAGTGCAGCTATCTGACCTTCCAAGGTTTCAGTTCTTTCCTTCAGTGCCAGTATTTCCGCATAGGTCTCAGAATTATTGGTTCTCTTTGGATGAAGAGAGCAATTTTCCCATCTCCCTGCCTGATCTCCTAAAAACAAAAACAAAATAACATCAACAATAAAAAATATCCATAGAACTCAGGTTGATTAAAATCAATAGTGCAAGTCTCCAGCAATACAAACCGCAATTGCTCTACAGAAAATAATCACTGTCTGAAAGCCACACCCTTATAGCATTTTGGAGTCTTAAAGTAGTTAAAGCCCTGTGAGCTGTTTTACTTGCAATAGATGCCTCTTGGTCTTTGAGGCATAATTTGCAGAAAGAGGTGTGCAGAAGACTTAAAAAAAGTTTGTTATGGCTCTATTCCAGCCTCTACTCTATACCACTAGCAGAAAAATCTAGCTAGTTTTACTAGTATATATAACACCTATGAGCTAGATAACATTCACAGTTATATCTAGTTTCCACCTTCACTGATTCAACAATCCCTTTAAATAGAACCAGCAATTACCCACCCTACGTATAGCAGATCAATGGTGTTGTATGCTTTTCTGAGAAGTTTTATTCACATTCAATATCATGTTACTTTAAAAGTAAAGCTAAAACTCCAGCATGTTTTTTGTTTGATTTTTTTTTTTTTGCTTAGTGTTTGGAACCTTCCCCTCTTCTTTGTTCAATAGGTTTCTCAACTAGATAAAAGAGCAACTATTAATGCCCATACCTAATATGCTGCAGGTAAAGTTCTCCACTAAAGATTTATAACATATTAACCCAACCCCAAATTTCCATAAGTATTTTATTAGCTTGACTCTTTTTTTCCCAAAGTAATGAGCAATTCTAACTAAAAATCACATGTATTTCATCACCTTCAAAAATGACTCTGGCTGTATTTCACACAAGTATTTTAGAATCCAGTTGTGTCCTTTTAGTGACATGCATTTTAGTATTAAATCAAGCCTGACTATCTCTAAGGATTAAGTCATCATAACTATGTACTACAGGAAGATAGTATGGATTCTTGTGACTACTGCAACTACAGTCAGGTGGAGTTCATCCGTCATCTCACTCTGGGAGCATCAAGCACATAGGTACATGTGTACTGCATGGAAACATCCGCTGAACAGATCCAGCAAGTTTTATAGTCCCTAAACTGATCCACTAACAAAAAGTCAGGCTGAAGCATTAGCAGTAGTGTTTTGGTCTTTAGTGATCAAAGTCCCCAAGACACTTCTTTTCTCTTGCTTTTCTGTAGTTTTTGTGTTCTAATAAGACACATCAAGTGCTCCTGCTAGATCAGCCACAACAGCAGGTTTACTGTAGCATTTAAAGTCATACTTTTAAATCCTAAAAGATTAAAAACTTTGGATTTAGGAAATGGTTCTCGGAAAGCTCAGTTGTGTAGACACAGGAAAGCATATCAGACAAAATACCACATATTCCGCACACTGGATTGGAATTGTACATACTTCACTAAACAGGAGAGGTGCTGAGGTGTCTAAGACATACTTTGTCAAAACTCTAGTCCTTAGCTTCAAATGACACTTACTTGAAATAGTTTTACATCAGAAATGCCCTATTGGATCACACACCATCAGCTGACTTAGCCTAATATTTTTACCTCCTTTTGCTATTATTGGTAGGCCCAGCCACTTCCTATGGAACTTCCCTGACATTGAAGAGCCGAGACAATGCTACCCTGCTTAACCCTCTCAGTCATGAACCTGGTAGCTGTCAGCTTGTCTAACCATGCCTGAAATATGAGAGTTATCTGCCTCTCCCACCTTCTAGGGCAGTAAATATTAGAAGTTCAATACCCAGGGCAAGAAGTGTTTCGTTCATAGAATCATAGAATATCCTGAATTGAAGGGAGCCACAAGGATCATTGAAAGTAGTACTGCTCTCCAGCCTCTCATTCCCTAGTCTATATTTATATCCAGGTTTGCCCTGTTCCAGGTGCAGAATCCAGCACTTATCTTTGTTAAACTTCTCACAGTTGGTGATTGCCCAGCCTCTAATTTGTCTAGGTCTCTCTGCGGGGCCTCTCTGCCTTCAATGGAGTTGACAGCTATCATTGGCAAACCTACTTAGTAGAGCTTTGGATCCCACATCCACATCATCAATGAAGATGTTGAAGAGAACTAGGCCTAGGATGGAGCCCTGCAGAGCTCCACTAGCGACAGGTCACCACCCTGAGGTAAACCCATTCACTATAACTCTTAGCACCATAAACTTAAAACTGACCTACTACAATGAGTGTTCCCACATTCTTCTACTGCACACTGTAATGAATGATAGTCCAGTGTTCAGTTTATTCACCGTCTGCAGCCTCAGTTTGCTGTGATCATGTGAATTTGACAATTCTCATTTTACAGAAAGCGAAGGCCTTTCACCTTCCTTTCACATATGTTTTCCATAGTTCTATGAGAAAGTGAGTTGGGTAGAGGCAGACAGCCCTTGTAAGTGCCATTTTGTACAATTCCCACATAGCTCACTTTTGCTTATTAATAGACTTTATTCACCTGATACACTCACAGATAAAGCAAGGAAAGCAAAAGGATTGAAGGTGCAAGCATAAGAGCTGTACAAAATATATAATTTGTGAACTTAAAATAATTTTACTTCCATTCAAGTGAAAAGCTTTTCTCCTTTGCCAGCACTCTCACCTCGACCAGAGCTCGGTGGATACAGAATGAAACATCAAGTTTTGCAGCACATACTGTATGACAGAACGATCGATAAGTCATCAAAAACTTGAGCAGGAGATGCCACTTTCCCAGAAGTCCAGTAATAGCAAGTTTAGTACAAAAACTACTGTTAAGAAATTGCCTAAGAACTACAGCTGGGTCTGCAAGTACATACACAGATGAGAAAAAGCATCAGAAAGGAAAGAGTCTAAAAACTAAATTTTATTTAAAGCACTTAGGAGTAAATAATATAGGACCTACTCTAAAACAGGTTATATTTACAGAACAGTTATTTCCGTTTACAGTTTAACGTAGCAGATCTCTTCCTCATAACGCGATGTTTACGCTTCACTGTTTTTTGCATCTGTTCTGGAATAGTAATCAAGTTTTTTTTGAAGACTCCCTGTTGAGTGATGGTAGAAATTGTACCTTTCTTTGTAGGTGGCTCTTCTTCCACAGTAGATTTATTTTCCAAGCAACGTTTTCTTCCCACTTCCAGCACAGTTTTTTCACAATCCTTCAATTGGCTGCTTTCAATCACTTCATTAGAGTTCTTTTCTGCAGTCAGAGTGTTGTCCTGTGTTAAAATAGCATCAATTACTTTTAAGTGCCCAATTTATGCAAATACAAAGGCTTTGTAGTTTTTATACACAAATATTTTTACAAAACTATCTGGGTAAGGTGTATAGGGGTTGTCAGAGGAAAATGTCAGTTACAGATCAGTTACTTAAACCAAAAGCCAGTACAACTTATAATACTAATAAACATAATATTTTGCACTCTACAGGAATCAGAGCAAAAAACTGGGCAACTACAAAATGCAAGACTTATATGTAAGAGAAGTTAGTTTACCATCTGAAAATAATTTTCAATGTCAAGATCTGACAAAATTCCCAATTTGTTCAAAGGGCAAACAGTCAGTTCTACAAGTTAATCACTTTCTTATCATGGTTGGCAGAGTTGGGAGCTTTAACATCCTTTAGCAAAGCCACAAATCATTTTTGTCATGACATATCCGATGCAATTTGAAAGCCCAGTCAGGTCTGACATACATAGATATCTATTTGACTACTCTATTAGACTTGAGATTTGTGGTCATGTTTAAAATTTCATGCCACACAGTGTCACAGAAACACTGGACAGTTAAAGCCTTGCTCTCGGAAGAAGGAGTAAGAAGTCACCACAAATCTCATCACTCTTGGATCATTCATACTATTGAAAAGTTCAAGTGCTGTGGGGCAGAGAGAATGCAAGATTAAGTTTACAATGGAAGAGAGAAATGGATTAGAGTGCTGACTAACTTTCATTTAAAATCTTCTCAGAGCTATTTCAGGTTACTGGACATCAGGCTCAAAAAAAAAAAAAAAAATCCCAAAACCCCCTAACTGCATGTTTTGATTTTTTTTTAAGCCTGTATACATTTAGTCAAGCTAGTCTTCTGGCATTCAGGAGCTATCAATAGACTAGACAGTTCCAAGCTGTATTAATCATATCAAAAGCAGAGATACCCATGTCATACCTGCTTAGTCCAAACTCTGCTCAGTATGTTCCTATTATTGCTTTTCCTTTGCAAGTGTGCATGCATGGTGGTGGTGGGTGGAATGCACTGATTTTTTATTTTTGTCTATTTACAGAATCACTGTTCTTTTCACATTATTAGTTTCTAACTTCAATTAAAATTGGCCTTTTGCTGCAACAAAACCTCCTTTTTTTCCCCTTTCATTCAGACAAAAAAAATGGACAGTGATGCATTTCCACTATTCTCACCGTTCAAGTTCTCACACTGTGGCTGGTTTTTTTTTAATGGCTCTTATGAGTCTCATCTAGAATTCTCCAATAATAAGTTCAGACCACTGCTTCTTAAAGTCCCATTTTTCACACCCACACACACATTTTGCTGTGGCTTTAGTTTCAATGCCAACTGACCTGCTACTATTTCAAGCAAGTAGCAAGTATTTACAGAAAATTTCAATTTCCTAAAGTAGCTAAGTCCATTATAAGCACATAGAAAGATTTTTTTACATAAAGACAATTGAGATGTCTAAGACTTACATTGTCTTTCATGGTTTCTTCTGAACAGGTCATCAAACCCTGTAGTCTCATAATAACTTTATCTTTTTGCTCCACAATGTCTATTAGTTCTTGAATCCTTTTATTCTGTAGATTCATTTTCTTGGAAAAGAAAAAAAAGTAGTTCAGGTACTGTTAAACTGTTGAATTATACCATGCATTTAGAAGCAAGATTAGTTAAATTATGTTTGATATATTAAAAAAAAAAGCTAGAAGCACACTGTAATAGCATTTTAAGTTATTGGAACTTAGTATTATAGCAAATAATTTTGCACAAAATTTTTTTATGAGAAAGTTACCTCAGTTGCATCTTTAAGTTGCTCAGCAGACTCATCCAATTTAATCCTCTGTGTTCCAAAATCTGTAACAGAAAAAAAGTCTGCATCAGGTAATGAGTCCTTACATAGTTTACTCAGTAATTCATTCTTTTGGATCTTCTGGTACTTCAGTAGGTTTTGAATAGATTTATTTTCAAGTTGACTTCTACTTATAGGACACATTTCAAAGTTGTTTAAGTTTTTTGAACAGGAAAATTGGGCCTTGCAATCCATACAAAATATAGATCATGTCAAAAGACCTCTGCTGAAATCATATGATGAGGTACTGCTAGTTTTTCCTCCATGAATGTTTCACAGGATACCTGAAAACACTACGTCAGCAAAACATAGAGAAGTATAAGGATTACAATCAGGAATCAATAATTTGGATGTTTTACCCCACAATTCCAAAGTCTGCGATTGATAGTTTGAAGTTTTGTCTTAAAAATCAAATAACCAAGGCCTGAAAAATTGTTTAACCTGAACATACAAAAAACAACTGATCACCACTGCTATACATAAGATTTGGTTCCAAAATCCTGCTCGACTAGATTATTATTTCTATTTCACTGCAGTCAGTAATTTCTTTTTTTGTCTGTTTCACATCACTCCTAGACCCAGTTTACCTTTGGTTTTCTCTGCCAGCTGTTCTTTGGTCTCAATTAGTTCAGTGGTGACTTTTTCTAGCTGTTTTTCAAGCCATCCTATAGTTTGCTGTGGGTCTTCTAGGGACACAATGTATTGGTGTGCTGCTTCTGCCTGATTTTTTATATCAGTGATATCATTCTGCAGAGACTCAATAATGCCCTCAAAATCAAAGCAGATACCTGGCCCTGTCCCACATTCTTCATCCTGAAAGATAATTTATATCCATTTAGAAAAGGCAAATAATTACAGAAAAGCCATTATTTCTACAGAAAATTTGGAAGACCATTACGAATTCAAACATATAAGTACCATTAATTCTGATCTCAAAACCATCTTGAAGGTTCATATGCATTTTGATTGCCAGTTTCTACCTTCACACACAAGTGTCCAGTATCAAGTAATAGCTACTTTTTATAATATTTAATGACCCAACATTACAGTCCACTTTATATGTCCATAAACATATCACCTCCAACTTTATATAAAAGCTAGCATTTTTTAATTCGATGAGAATATTGGATGAACACAGCAAGTAAACAGTTTTAGAAGGAATACAACAGAAATTTTCAGGTATCTGTAAAAGTTTGTGAGGTCAAACAATTTCGTGGTAACTTAATGTGATAAGTTGAACTCAAAATACTGACTTTATATCTTTCTTCTTTGTTTTTTAAAAACAAAGGATTTCAAACTCACAAGAGACAGCCTCAAGGTAAGAACCAAGTTATGACTTAAGTGTATGGATAATTCTCATTGCTTCAGTTGTAGCTACAACTGCCCTGAGAGGAATCTGTGATCACTCCAGTACAGTCCATATGTAAGGCCTAAGAAATGAGATTCAAGGATTGTAAATAGGCACTTAATGCAACGGATTTTATACCATAATTGCAGTTTTTCCTCAATTTCTTTGTATATAGGAATTTTCACTTTGTGTTGGAGAAATGCAGAAAACTCCAAAGATTCCTAAATCCCAAGGTTCAGCAACCCCACTTACTAAATGGGATAAATATATCTTGCTGAGGATACAGTTGCACTGCCTGCAATTCCTTGAAACCATTCTTCTAATTCTTAAGAAATATCACGACGATAACAGGTAGTGAGTAAAAGGGACATTTGGGGAAGACAGATAAAAATACCAGAGGTCCAGTTTGCTCACTGCCAGGCTGATCTTCTAATTTCTTTTTTTCATCTGCATTTTTAGGATAACTATTTGCAAGTTCCTTTAAGATTTCCAGACGTTTTTCAGCATTTTCTTCAAGCCGTGCTCGTTCATGATCAAGGCACTCTCTAGAGCAGGAAAAATAAGTCAGCTAAAAGCTAACCAGTATGAGATACTAAAAAGTTATAAATACAGTTGCTTATAAACAAAGATGCTTTCTTCTTTATTTTGGCACAGCAAAACAGTACACAAAATAGTGCTGCTACACCAAAACAGAGGTATAATTCCCACACAGACAAATCCCTAAAGAACAAGAGGGAGACAAATATACAGATTACAGATAGCACTTAACAAAAAGCGTTGGTACATTAACAAAAAGCTGGTACATTAACAGATACAGTGGAAGATAAGATCTAGTAGAAGAGTGTGTTCTCTTACACCTGAGAATAATATATTTAAGAATATAAGTGAATTTACTCTGATTTGCTTAACCAGTAACTTTAAAATCACTTAAAGCCAGCTTACTTGAAATCTATTTCCCGCTCAGCAAAATATTGGGTAAACTCTTGTATCACTTCTTCACGAACTTTTAGCTCCAGCAGTAACTTATTCTTCTTTTCAGTAATAAGTTTGTTCTTCAGCTCTTCTATGAGACTCAGCAGTGTCTAGAATTACAATTAGTATTGAGTTTTTCGTAAAGAAAAGTTTCCCAGAAGTGAAATTTTTCCCATTCCTTAAACACTACAACACTTTACTCTCCTGCTAGCGAAAGTCTTTTCAGCTCTTTTATTATCTTACTCATAAACAGGAGGATTCATGAGTGGGTTGAACTACCTGTTTGGTACTAACATAGCAATTTTTAAGTTTGCACAGAGGTGGCATTTACAAAGAACACTAGGTTTATAACAAAAAACTCTTGAAGTTATCTTTAAAAATAGGCTTAAGATCCACAGAATTTGGCCTTTTTTTCCAGATACCCATTTTTGAGGCGGTATTAATGAAACCTGCACAAAACTGTCTCTAGTCCTCTGTTCGCTCCTGCTAGTCTTCCCTAGAAGTGACTGTTCCTTAAAGGACAGTTTCCAGAGTTTTCTTGTCCATAAAATAACAAAGGAACAATCTTCTGAATTGCTAAAAACCAGGTAATACTTTCTGTGCATTGACCATAGGTTACCAAAAGAAGAGAAAGCCAAATCTGCAATTTTTACTGCTCAGTCTGTACCTTGACACATTTCATAGTGTTCTCCCACAATAAGCACTAAGTCATAAGTAATCCACCTGTAGTTCTAAACACTATATTTAGGTAAGATAAGGGTGATTAGAAAAAAGGGGTGAGAGATGAGGGAAACCAGTAGAAGAATACCTTGCTTCAAGGCTCCACACTACGCTAAGTCTTAAAGTAGCCCTGGCACATACCATATATTCTTCTTTTCCAATAACAACTTTACTTTCTTCCTTTTCCTGCACTGCTTCTTCTCTTGACACACTGTGCTGTTCCTCCATCTCTCCATCATCATCTTCAAACACATCTTCCAAGGTTCTGTCCCACAGGATAGTGCCTCTTCTCCTTGAGATTGGCATTTTAGTGACATTAAGCAGTGATGATTCTCCTGCCAATTTCTGGTCAAATGACTGATCTTGGGGAAGAATAGATGTATCCATAACTAAAACCTATCCAGAAAACAAAGAACAAAGTTACCGGTACTTTTTAAAACCTCCATTGGCACTTTGAAGACACACCTCTTCCACTCTCCTAGAGCTCTCTGGAGCATATCCAGCCTATCCTCTATTGGAAGTCACTGCTCAACATCAGTTTCCAGCTAAAGTACAAAGTTGTCACTTTGTAGTCTAACCTTTCCTTTGATCCCAGGAACATCAAGTTTCACTAGATGGATAACCTACAAGAGGGTTACCACCACTTGCACCAAAAGATTTCTCAATTTCCTTACTTTGAGTTTCTAGTTGCATTACAGGAATACCATCCTACAAATTCTATTTCTTGAACAGCTCTATTACCCTTACAGTCTGCTCCTTCTGGTGGTGCACTTAGCCTGCCCAAATTCCAAAAGCATGGATCTAACTGCCAACAAAACTTTTCCACAGCTTTCATTAAGACTGCAGCACTGATCCCCAATACTTTCACCTTCTAACTTTGCCAAAGTTATATCACTGCACTTACTTCTACTCACTCTGCTTCCACCTTCCCACTGAAGCCTCTGTGAACATAAAGATGACCTTTCAAACTCTTTGGTACTCACTCTATTTTATTAGTATTTCAGGTGAGCAATATTCCAAACTGAGATAGCAGTAGGATATCGGACAGCTAGAAGTGCTCCTAGGGGAAAGTATGTTATGACTACAGAAGAAATTTACCTAGATCTCAGGGAATTTCTTTCAAATACAGTCAGTGTCTGGTTAGGCTGGACATTTTACAGGAAATACAAATTTTCAGCAGGAGATGCTCCCACCCCCACACTCAGAAGGAAAAAGGAAGTCCCAACAAGGCCTTTTTAAAAGCTCTAGGAGATAAAGCCCAACCAGGAATAATTAGAAATATCATTGCAACATGACAGAAAAATTCAGTAACTAAATTCATATTCTCAAAAGTGAGAGAACCTGCTCTTTAAAGCAAATCAAAGTTATGGAGCAACAAGATAAATGACAACACACTTACTTTTTGTGCAATAGCCGAGAACTTTAGCACATTGAGTGTTTCATCATATGCTGAAGCACACTGGCTTATGTTTACTATCATGTATACCTTCCCCTTTCCACTGAAGAATCCTTGAAGGAAATGAGTTAACTTACTTTCCCGAAAGGGTATGTGTTGCTGCAACCTTTAAAGACAAAAGAACAGATGATCAGAAGTTTAATAAATTCCAGGCAGTGCAAGAGCTGTCCAGCCTGAAGACTTGAAAATACCTATAAAAGCAGCAGTCTTTAAATCAGTTAAAACTGTTTTGAACTAGATACAGCTGTTTGTGAAGAGATTGTGTGGCTGTGGTGACTGCTGCTTTACTTTTTTTCTGATACACTACAGCAATGCAATCAATGGGAGCACTTAAGCCAGGAGTGTTCAACATTTAGCCTACAGTAGGTCACATAAGCCTCATGCTACATCAAACTATACCCCATCTCTTTCTTTTCTTTTCCACATCCCCAAAAAGTACTTATGTAGTTTTAGACATGCAGTATCCAACATTATCAGAGATCTCTTTCACCCCTTATCATATCTCTGAGAACAGAGAATAGCAAGTGTCTAGGTAAGAAGACTAGCATACACGGAACACAGAGATACTTTTCAGAACTTTATACCTAATCCCCCAGAAGTTCTGTCCTGAATCAGAAGTTGTGCCCTTGAAATTAACAGCTGGTGATGAAGTTTTTAATACTTATAGAAAGTTTTATAGGAATTCCTAAAACATGACCTTGCCACCAAATGCATTTTGGATGCATGACAGCTATTCAGTAACATGAATAGTGCTACAGAACTCAGCGAGATAGTGACACTCCTGCCAGAATATATATAGGGCTCAGAGGTAGCTTTGCCACATGATGGAAACAAGAACAATTATAAGAAAGTTACTGCTTCTTATTCTACTTACACAGGACCTGTATTAATACTTCAAGATCGTGCTTCAGAACATTTCCTGCATATTGTTAAAATTCCACATTATTAGGATCAGAAAGTTATATCACGAATACACTAATGACCCCCTACACAGCTGCTAGTTTTAATGCATCCTTCCTCTCTGAAAAGGTCAGGAAGGTAAAAACCCCATAAATTCACAAAATGTAGGGTTAATCAGGAAGACACACTAGCAAAGCTTTTTCACCTTAAGGTGTGATAGACTTCAAATATGCTGCCAAGAACAGTGTTACAGACTAAGTTAATTTGGCAAAGCACATACAGGCATATAAAAAACAGCAGACAGTTTATTTAACCTCTAGGACAGAAACAGATCTTCAAATGAGAATCTATGCAGGAAACACTTCCCAGACAGTTACTATATTGGTTTTTAGACAGTTAACTTTTTGTATTGTTTTACTCTTATTTAGATACTCAGGCTGGGGCATAAATAGTGGGAAGGCTTTCTTTTGTCTGCATTATGGTTAGCTAGATCAGAAGAGTGTTAAAATTACGTCACAGTTTAGAAATAACAAATTTTGTCAAAGAGTACACAGTCATGATAGCACGGCAATATCCTGCCGACAAGAAATGTCACAATGGAAGTATGTAGAAGATGGAGCTAGTTCCCAAAGAAGTAATGAAATGCTGAAAATTTGGCTCTATGACATTAGTGACAATGCTGTTTTAAACTTATTCCAAAGTCTGATATGTCAAGCTCAGAAGAAGAAAGTTAAATTGCTAAAATCTATGATAGCACATTTAAAGGATTATGTTATAATTTGAATGATTTAATTACAAAGCAAAACCAGGCAAGTTTAAAGATAACTCTGGTATATCAACAAGACTACAGCATAGACTTGCTAAGTTTATACGTCTTTTCTACCAGAAATTTAAGTGTTAATTTTGTATATTTTAAATAGTAACTTTTAAATGTTGTGGGCAATACCTGAAAAACACAACCAGTTTGCAATTCATAAAAGGACTTACTTTGACTGTTGACAGTTCTTGAGTGCATTAATACACTTGCCTAGAGTCAGGAGAGAGGTATTTATATTTCCACTCTCTTTCAATCTGTCACCTTCATTGCGGGTCTTGGTATATCTTTCTGAACCAGCAAGATCACAAAATGACAATCTGAAAGCAGAACAGGAAAATTCACTTTATTTATCTTACATGATGAACAAATGATTCACTTTTCAAAACGATCACTTTTCTTCATCCTTCTCAAAGTTTCTTGCCCATTCCAATTTCCCCCTATTTTCTGTCAGACATTTTTTCAACGTGCTTCCTATTCCACCCACCCCCACCTCCTCATCCTGTTCCTTCTGGGGATTCACATGAGTTCAGGAGTATAGGAGGCTGGCACAACCCTGTGATGAACAGAGGGGACAAGATGGAGAACAGAGCTGCAACGTGACAGGCCAAGGGAGAGGGCCAAGTACTATAGGAGCATAGGGAGTGGGGAAGCCACCACACATGCAGGAAGCTCCCACAGGGAGCACTGGGTGTATAGTGCAGTACCAGTACATCAATATGGAAAATAATTGACAACTTCACCATAAGAGAGACTCTGTTCTGAACTTACTCATTGACTCGGGTAACTCGTGGTGTTCCTAAATCTTCAATTTTTAGTACCTTAACTGTGAATATGCTGTGACTAAAAGGAGAAATTGAAATCATAAGAGAAATTGAAATCATAAGAGAAATTGAA